CCCGCCCCGTGACCCACCACGCGTGCGCGCGCCCCTCCGCCCGCCGCAGCCCCGCCCCGAGTGGGCCGGCCCACGCATCGGGGCGCGGCACCCCCTGGCGGCCTTAAGAGGCATGGCAAGGCGAGGCCTGAGAGCCCACCGCCAGCTATGGCCAGGAGCTCTCGGTTCCAAGCTTCCGATCCTCCGCTTCCCTTTCCGGGCCCACGAACTCCCTTTACCCGCTCAAGGCCGAGCGCTGCGTCCCGACGTAGGTCTTGTTGAAGGCGCGCTCCTCCAGTAGCCGGTGCGCCGCGCCGCCCTGGGGAAGCGGGTCCCGGCTTGCTAGCTAACAGCTAGACCTCGAGGGCGTCAGACTGCTGGCGTTGGCTGACCACCCTGGAAGCCCCCTCGGGGGCTGGGACTCCTCGACATGTCTAGGCCTCACGACCTCTTTTCACTATGTCCCTGCTCTGATTGTGGACAAGGGGGAGCCAGGGTGGGAAGGGAGACTTTCAAAACTGAAACCAGATCGGGAAGGTTCTCGGTTTTTTCTCGCACCCACTCCTTCGGCCAGTTTTTTCTTTCTTCTTTTTTTTTTGATTGCTAGAGCGCGATCAGAGACAGAGCAGAGGAGAAAACAGCGCTGGCTGTGGGGTGTGGCCATACGTCAATCCTTTCCTCTCCATTTCTCCACCCAGTGAGGTTTTGGGCACAGGTGAATATGCCCCCCCACCCCCCACCCCCCGTTGTTTTTCAAGCCAGAGTGGGATTTCAACGCTACTCAGCCATGTGGGGGCGCTAGGCCATGGGCCAGCACTGGCTTTTTCCCATCATAGGTGTTTGTACATTGTGTTCCCTCTGCCTGGGGCACTCCACTCTCCACAACTAAAAGGCTGTCAAGCTTCCACCGGTCAATGACAATCATCTTGTTGTAGGATTTTTTTTTTAAAGAATTATTTAACTTTATTTTAACTTGACCAGAAAGGGACAGAGTGGGGGTAAGGAGTGAGAAAGCAAGCTGCCAGGTCTGGGAATCGAACCATGGTCAGACGTGTGGGACTCCAGCACCCTTAACCACCATGCCACTTGCTGGCCCCTACTGTTGTACTCCTTAAAGGTCTTAAACTTCTCATGTCCCCTTTAGAGAGCAGACAGGAGGGCTGGCAGAGGGTGGGAATCATGTGGCCATAGGAACATGTTTTACCCACCTTTACAGTTAGGCCAGGAGTCCCTAGGGGTCCCAGGGAAAGGCCTGAGGGTCCTGGGGAGAAGGTGTCTGGAAATGCAGGAAGAGGGCCTCCTGGGCAGGTGCAGCTAAACATCTTCCAAGGGCAGCCTGAGCCCAGGGAACAGAGTGTGGGCATGATTATGCCAGGGGAAACAAGCCTTGGGAAGATGCTGGTTTGGCAGGTAGAGCTGCTGGAACTGGGACATCCAGCCTTCTGCACAAGGTCTGGCTCTGGGGCTCAAGACCTTCCTGCTTCCTTCCTTTTCCAGAATCCCTCCTTGCACAGAGCAGTAGCAGCTCTTGGGCTGCGCTGGCTGGGACTATGGGAAGGCAGAAACTGGCTTGGCAGAACCCAGGGCTGAGAACAATGGTGACAGGTAGCGTGGCCAAGGATCACCCTGACCAGAACACTCCTCTCAACAAGCACTTCATCACCTGGTCCCCTTGACCACAGCCGCTATTTGAGGCCCATTGTTGGCTTCAAGACATCTGATGTCACAGTGGACAATAAGCTGTTGCCAGTGGCAAAGGAGGGGTCAAAAGTTGCACCCAAACTTTGGACCACCTGCTCCCCACCTTCAGCTTACAGTGCACTGGGCCAAACAAAGACCTATGTCAAGTGTAGTTTTTGGATGGGATGCTGGAACACAGCCAGCACGGACTCCAGAGGTGGCTAAGGTATATATATGGGGGCTCCTTTTTGGGTGACCTGAGGGTATGAGAGAGAACTGAGGACCAAGCCAAGAGACTGAGGTAACTGAGATCCATGGGGTGGGGGCAGCCAGAATACCAATGGACCAGGGAGGGTCACGTGACGAGGGTCTGAAGGGAGCTGCCTGCCCCTGGAAAGAACGACAGAGGCACTGGGTACAATAAACAAAAAAGATCTGTATTAGAACATTTACACTCAGGGAAGAAAGAGGTATCTGCATCATCAAATGTGGAATGTTGAAGAAAGTTAAAATAAATAAGACTCCGAGCGCAACTGGACTGGCTCAGGCTGGGGCTCCCAGGGGCCACTGTGCATCAGCTCCAGGCTGCCGGGGTCACCACTTGGCCGTACTGGCCTCCTCCCTGACGCAGCACAGCTGTGCCTGGGACACAGAAAGACTCACAGGTACTAGAGCAGCCCACAAGCTCACTCTCCGCTCTCCTCACTTATTTCTGTGACAATGTCTATTAGGCTCTGGAGCCCGAAGATATAGCCAGCATCTTGGCCCTCATGCACCACGCTGTCCTCGCCATACAGCCTGCAGGTGGTGTGTGCGAAGTCGATCATGCGCACGTCCACGGAGCTGGCGCCAAGGGGCTTGTAAGCATAGGCGCCAGCAGACTCATCTGCTGACTCCTCTGACAGGTCCTCCAAGTCCTCAGCGTCCGAGTCCAGGGCCACTTCGGGCCTCTCCTTGCCATCATAGATGACAAGCAGGGAGCTTGAGTAGAAGCGATATGACTCTTGTCGCTCCAACACCGCCTTGAGTTCAGCCAGCTTCTTGAGCACAGGGCCCAGGAGCTCTCGGCGCAAGTACCGCCCATTGTGGAAGAACTGGAAAAGCGCCTCCTTGAAGCCCTGCACTGACAGCTTCCGCCCGTGGTACTTGTTCATGAACATGAGCTGCCCACTGCCTGCCTGGTACACCTGTGCGAGACACCAGCAGGTCAAGAGCTGAGGACCCTCTCAAACCCTGGACCATGGGGAGGCACGGTGACTTGTGACAGCCAGAATCAGATGCTTTAGCTTGTTAGGTACACCAGTCACAGAGTCACGGTCCCCTCTCATCAGCACCCACCCAAGAGGCAGCTATCCTGGGTTTGGCCACTGTGCCTCAGCCCCTCATCAGTGGGTCAGTGGAGAGGGCCTAGCCTCTTGCCTTCCTCCCTACTCCTGTCCACCAACTGGACCCAGGCAACCATGCCAGCCTCAGAGGGGGTCACCCACGCATGTATGCTTTCTTTCTTAACCAGAAAGTAACAAACTCACATTGGGTCACCCCTGGCCAGCCCGACATGCACAAGCACACCCCTCTCACCTGCATGCCACACACACGCACACCAATGACTGCAGATGTGCTCTGCTGACACTTCCGGATTTGATTGGCTGCCTTCTCCTCTGAAGCATCGTCACCGTGCTGGCGCGTGCCCATCTTGAGGTCCAGGACACAAGGCACCTCGTAGCGGGAAGTCAGGTTCTCCAGTAAGATAAATTCTGAATGGTTAAGGATAATCGCCGCAAAGAGGAGTGGCTGCTTCCTGGGGCCTTGGCATTTCTGGTGCAGAGAGGTCACACCCTTGGGGAACTCCGTGAGTCCCACCATCTCCCATGGAGGGAACCCAGGACTGGCCCGAAAACTAGGAGGTACCTTTACGTGTCAGGGAATGAGCCCAGAGCACACTGTCTGGACTGGATACAGGCCTGGGAGACAACATCATTTTCTGAACTCAGCGAGGCATGAAATGAGAGTCCGACAGTACAATGTCCCCAATTACAACCAGTACAGCAAACAAGTTCAGCAACTGCTATGGCCTGAAATGTGAACCTGGCATATGAGTACCAACTCGTGAAAGTATTCTTCTCTATAAAATAAGTTACAGGGGCCCAGCAGGTGTCGTGGTGGTTAAGGGCCCTGGACTCCCATATGGCTAACTGTGGTTTGGGTCTTGAAACTGGCGGCTTGCTTTCTCACTTTCCCTCTCTCTGTCCCTCCCTGATCAAATTAAAATAAGTAATTAAATGAATAAAATTAAATGAAATGATTCCAAAAAAAAAAAAAAAAGTTATCGGGGCTGGCACTGGGACCTACTGATTTAGGGATCCAGATCTCATTTGACCAACTGAATGGTTTGATCTTGGTTTCAGCAGCTTGATAAATACACATGGTGTATCCTGACAGGGTGGATAAATGGAAGAGAAGGGACTGGAGCATGACCATACACCACTGGGGGTACCTTCTCCTTCTCTTTCTGGTGAGCCCACATGCCCACTGACAATTAGAAAGTAAATAGGGCCAGAGGTGACATAGAGGTTAAGGATTGCACATGGCTGAACGGTTTTGAGTCCCAAACCTGGTGGCTTGAAGAACATACCAGATGCACGTGTGTACACCTGCAAAATCCTCCCTTTTTTTTTCTTGGAGAGGTTTTTGCCATAGGGCAAGTGTGCTTTGCCAGACAGACAGAGAGAGACAGAGACAGAAAGTGAGAAATTCCCCCCCAGGGAGGATGGCCAAGCCACAATCCCTTCTCCTCCATTCTCCTCTCAGGATCTTGGGCACACACACACGCGCCCGGTGTGAGTTTAAGCCACTAGGTCTGTGACTCGAACCACGGTCAACTACATGGGAGGCCAGTGACGTAGCCATTACACCAACTGCTGGTCTTTTTTTTTTTAAAAGAGAGATTTTCTTTTTATTTGGAGAGGTTTCTGCTATAGGGTGCATGTGCTCGCCAGAAAGAGATAGACAGAAAGTGATAAATCACCCCCTAGGGGGGATAGCCACACTGCAACCCCTTCTCTTCCATTCTCCTTTCGGGATCTTAGGCACGCATGCACACATGCCCGGTGTGAGTTTAAGCCTCCGGATCCAAGACTCAAACCACGGTCAACTATATGGGAGTCTAGTGATGTAGCCATTACGTCAACTGCTGGCCCAAAAGAGAGATTTTTGCTACAGGACATGTGCACTCACCAGAGAGAAAGAAAGAGAGAAAGTGAGAAATCACCCCACAGGGGGAATGGCCAAGAATCCCTTCTCCTTCATTCTCCTCTTGGAAGCTTCGGGACACCCGTACAAGCGACCAGTGTGAGTTTTCTTTTTTTTTTTTTTTGGAGAGATTTTCACTGTAGGGCGTGTACGCTCGCCAGACAGACAGAGAGAGACATAGAGACAGAAAGCGAGAAATCACCCCCCAGAGGGGATGGTCACGCCGCAATCCCTTCTCCTCCATTCTCCTCCTGGGATCTTGGGCACGCACGCACACGCGCCCGGCGTGAGTTTTAAGCCACTGGGTCCGGGACACGAACCACGGTCGACTACGTGGGAATCCAGCGACATAGCCATTATGCTAACTGCTGGTTCCTGAGACCAGTGTGAGTTTTATGCCGCAGGGTCCAGAACTCAAACGGCAGTCGACTACCTAGAGTCCTGTGACGTAACCGTTATGCCATCTGCTGGTCCTCTATTGTCCATTTTTTTGTTTTGTCTTGTTTTCTTTTTAAAATTTATTTTACATTCCTTTACAAAATTTAGTGAAGTCTGAAAACAGGATCCAGCCCCTTACCCTCTCCTCCTCTAAGCTTAGTCTACTTAAAAAAAAAAAAAAATTTTATTGGGACCAGCAGTTAGTGTAATGGCTGTCGCTGGACTCCCACATAGTTGACCGCAGTTCGAGTCCTGGACCCGGTGGCTTAAAACTCACACCAGGTGCGTGTGCATGCATGCCCAAGATCCCGAGAGGAGAATGGAGGAGAAGGGATTGCAGCATGGCCATTCCCCCGGGAGGTGATTTCTCGCTTTCTGTCTCCCTGTCTCTCTCTGTCTGGCGACCACACGTGCCCTATAGCAAAAACCTCTCCAAAAAAATAATTTTTTTATTGTCATTACTTTTAGTTTTTGAAGTTGAGCAGAAAGAGAGAGAGAGAAGGAAAGTAAGAAATCAAGCTGCTAAATCTGGGACTCGAACCACGGTCAGCCATGTGGGAGTCCAGCCACCTCTACCACCATGCCACCTGCTGGTCCCTGTATTGTCCACTTTTAAAGAAGTTATAATGGTATATAAATTATTTAAAATAACTTTATCTTTTAAAAACACAGGCTGAAACGTACACAGATGCAGCAATGTTATCTTAAGAGGAGCTTCACAGAGTCACAGGCACTTAGGAGTTTAACCTGTCAGATCCATTTTTAACATACTTACTACCTAATAAAGTTAAAAAAATAAAATATCCCCATTTTTGAGGAATTCTCCCTCCCCCATAAGATAAGATTCAAAATTAAACAAAAACAACCCACCAGGACCACTGAAGTATGGTTTAATAGGTAAGAAAAGGAGGCTGGTGGCAAGCCAGGATTCAAAGGTCAGTCCTGCTGGGTCCAGTAGGTGGCATAGTTGTTAAAGTGTTGAACTCCCACATGGCCGAATTTTTGCAGGTGTGTGTGCATGTGTGTGCCTGTGTGCCCAAAATCCCAAGAGGAGAAGGCACTGCAGCATGGCCATCCCCCTGAGAGGTGATTTCTCATTTTCCCTCTGTCTCTCTGGGGAACACATGTGTCCACACATGCAAAAATCTCTCTCAAAAAAAAAAGGGTGAGCCCCACAATCCACTTACTCTCTGGCAGGAGAGCTGTTTGGGGACTCTTGAAACTGAAAGTTTAAGTCTGAAAAACAGGATCCAGCCCCTCACTCTTTCTTCCTCTAAGCTACCTAGGATAAAGCTCACCAGCAAGCTGGCCCCACTCATGAACACTGCTCAAACCAGAGACCCATTATCGCCCACCACCTGCGTTCCTAGGCCGGTCTGAGAGGTGGATTTGCCCACAGCTAACACATAGGTATACTAGCACAACCGTCACACAGGAATCTCAACCATGACTTAAAAAACCCCACCTCGGGGCCGGCTGGTGGCATGGTGGTTAGTGGCGCTGGACTCCCACATGGCTGACCGTGGTTGAAATCCTGGACCTGGCGGCTTGCTTTCTCATTCTTCCTGTCTCACTCTGTCCCTCTCTGCTCAAATTATGAATAAAGTTAAATAAAATAATTGTTTAAACAAAACAAAACAAAACAAAACAAAAAAACCTCAGGCCAGTCCATGGTTTGGTGGTTAAGGCAGCTGGATCCCACATGGTCAATCACACAGTTTGAGCCCAGGACCCTGCAGCCTGAAAAATGTGCCAGGCATGTGTGTGTATGCATGCCCAAAATCCTGAAAGAAGAAAAAAATGGAGAAGGGATTGTAGTATGACCATTCCCCATGGGAGCAGGGTGCTCAATCTCAACCCAGCAAACGCAGGCACCCTCTGACAAAATTTAAAAAACAAACACAAAACCCAACCTCTCCCTCTGAGCTCCAAAGGCCTTCACCTTCCGTTTCCCCAGCCCCAAGGTACAGTGTCTGATAAACAAAGGATACTGTACTGGTTCCGATGCTTCGCATTCTCTTTCATTCTCTGTAGCTGCTGCTGGTGACATTTCATGCTCCAAGGGTTGTAGTGTTTAAGCTGGGAACTTACATTCCCCTTTTTCTCTACACTATAGTATAAGACTTCGGATTTCTTTAGCCACTCAAATTCTTCTTCTAACTTATGGCTATAAGGAGAAAAGATAAAATAAACTGACATGTCTCTTCAAATTTCAGGGTCAAAGAGGAAAAAAGGACCTTTCTGAGGTGATGAAAAGCTGGTATCTTGATGAGATGGTGGTTACATCATACACATCTGCCAAAACCCACTTAATGCTTCAAATCGATACATTTATTATCCTGTACTTTATGTCTCAATGAAAATTATTAAAAGAAAAAACAAAACCGACTGAGTCAGCCCACCAGTCTTCTACAGCAAGACCCTAAGACAAAAGATCAGCCTCTGCCCCACGACTCTGCAGCAGGTAGCCTCCACTGCCCCCTGATTCCAAATGCTGGGCACTGGGAAAATCCACGGGATTTGAAATTCCATAGGAATAAGTCTATCTACTTAGTTTCAAAAGGTTCACAGAAAGACGAAATTAAAGTGTGAATTTATTTTGGTGTAAAAAAAAATTAAAATGCATGAAGTTTTTTCATAATACACATATTCAATGAACTTTCTGAAGCCTCCTGACTCTTTAATATTATTTACATTTTCACAGGTTCTGCCAAGGTTCAGGATTTTGAAAGCCCTGCCCTGTACGGATCCACAAGTGCAGGGATCCATGGGTCCCAACAGACCATTTTGTCCCCCACTATTGATGAGCAACCTAAGGTAAAGAGATGACTCCTGTCTTGGTCACTGCGACAAACTAGGACACAGGCTAGGCCTGGCACAGAGCAGTCCTGGGAGGAATGGTGAATGAATCTGCGTAACAGTAGTCATAGCAGTTGTTAACTCAAAATAGCGCGATCTAACCACAATGGACAGAAGAGAAGCTGCGTGTGTCCTGTGGGAAGTACCCACTGAGCGACATGGTACCTACAAAGTCCATCACAGGTCCTTAGTTCCCAGGAACTGGGTTATAAAACCAAGAGCCCCAACACCTCCCCTCCCACAGAGCTCAGAGTTCCCCTCAGTCTATACCCACCTCTTTATCTTCTCCTCTTTGCGATGCTGGCGCACCCAGTCCTTGGGAGTCTTTTCCATTTCTAGGACATGATGTTTCTTGCTTGCCCACCTTAGCAGCTTACTTTTTGGTTCACAGTCTGAATTGTCTACAATGTCCACAGTTCCATGGTCCCCTTTTAATGGATATGCTATTAAACACAAGTTCCTGTCTTCGTCTTCTTCAAAACGCACGGATACTACACCTGGAAGGCGGGTAAGGAGCAGAAAGGACTTTTTAATTTCATAGGAAGATGTGGTTCTAAATAACATGATTTTAACATTTGTTTTTTTCTTACCCTGTTCCTTAGTTTCTATGTTGCCAGAGGCCCCAAACTCATCTGCAAACCTAACAAATATCAAAACAGCTAGAAAAGATGACACCACACAAGACAAGCGATTAGGGAGCAGACATGGCCGAGAGTCTTCCTCTCTGATGCACTCAACAAGGCAAGAACCAAAGAATTACAAGACACATTTTTCTGTCATTGAAAATGTTTATTAATATTTATGTAACCCTTCTAATCCCAAGAGAGATGTAAAAACATTGCTCTTTATATTGTATGGGAATTCTTAACACCCTACACAGAAACACCGACGGCCTTGAGGCCTGCTTTAAAGCAGAGCCCGACGCAAGGGGAACACCAGTTTGCCTAGGTGTGAGACGCATCCCGTGGTAAGGGAAGAGTGGGTAAGCAAAGCAAAATAAAGGGCAAACAAAACAGACCACACAGCACAACAGACACCCTAGCAAAGGCTTCCTGCAGTACCCCCATATGGGGATTAGGGGTGCCCAGCCTTTTTTCCTTCTTAAATATGTTTTTATTGGTCTTTGCAGTCTCATGTCACAAATGAATAAAATGAACGCAGGCAGGTGGGGCTGGGCGGGGAGCACGGACACGCGGTGGCCTTGAAAGCAGCTCTCACCCTCGAGTCTCTAGAACCTGCCATGTGTATAATTAGACAGTCTTTCTGGAGAGGGCTGTCAGGCGGGACATTTCAGCAGGTGCCGACGAGCGCCTTACAACAGACCGGCTGAACACCTCTCCTCCCAGGCCTCTTTGCCCCAGGATCAATCAATCTGCTCAGTCTCTGCTGCCTGCCCGTGTGTTCGCTGCAGGGAATGCATGCTCAGAGAGGTGACACTTCTGAGGTGGCCCCAGCTCTGGGTGTAGAAGAGCCAGGGTAGGGAGTTCGAGGGCCACACTTTCCTGTGGGGGAAAGGACCAGGGGAAAAAAGGGGGGCAAAGGTGGCCAGCTAACAAGAGGCCTTTGGTTTTATCCTGGAAAAAAATAACAAAGAAGGACCAAGTGAGGGTCCCCAACTCCCCCAGCCCCAACACAACATACATGCATACTCAGCACAGAGAGGTGCGCTCAGTACATTGTCTTTACAGAACAAGGCTTCAACAGTCCCAAAATAACCTAAACTGTCCTTGAGTCTGTTGTGTAACTAGGTAATGCATAACTGATTTTCTTCAACAGGTTCTGATTTGATTTCCACAAAATCCTCCCCTCCCAAAAAAGACCACACCCTGTAGTAGCTGCTGATATCCCCCCAAAATGCAGTTCATGAAGGAAATCGCAGTGTGAGAATCAAAGATTGCCTTCACATGGCAATTGTGGGGACATTCCATCATTGCCAATGGTTTCAGCTAATCAGTACAGGCCTCCCACTCCTGAATTCCATCTGACTCAACCTTGTTCCCAGCCTCCAGCCTACCTAATCACCCGGGCATCTGGTTTCCTGGAGGACAAAAGGCAGGCAGGCGGCAAGTACTCTGGGTAAAATCCTCCCCAAGTCTTCCCCATTGTTCTCCTCATGGGGGACCATGGGCCACTGTGATCAAAGGCACCTGAACATAGAACACAACTACACTTCCACCAAAAATACACTCAAAACAATTCCACAAAACAAAACATAATTGAGCAATCTTACCAGGCCTTGAAAACTGAGGGTGTGAGGTGCAGGGCTCAGGGCCAAGAGGAGGAGAAGGAAAACACAGAGTGAGCGGGAGGGGTGAGGGCTCCTGGGGTGGCGGCCAGGCCCTTCCATGGCCAAGTTCCCTCACGTCTGTGCAGTAGTGGAGACCGTTCCAGCAGTAGGGGGCTCACCTTTATACTGGGGAGTGAATTTGCGCATCTCAGCTGGGAGGGTCTCGTAAAACTGGTGCTCCCTCGGAACCAGGGGCTTGCACAGGGTTGTCTCATTGAAGCGGAGCACACATGAGTGCCCCCCGACCTGGTGGACAAAGGGCTCCAGTAGGATGCCCTTGGCACGGGGCTCCACGTCCATGGCCCTGAAGGCTGGGCTCATCCTCCGGGCACAGCCAGCAGGGAGAAAGGGGAGGCGGCAGGGTCCAGCAGCCAGTGCGTCCTCCGTCTGTCGTCTGTCTGTGCGTCTGTATGTTTAGTCTCGGCTCCACTTCTTGCACAGGCCGGACACTCTGCCAGAAGCAAAACACAAATGATGAGGCAGGGGTCTGAAGTGGCCTGAGAACCACCGTAGGGCCACTGCCGTGCTACTCCAGCAGTTCCTCCAGAAGAAAAGACAAAAGCCCAAGCTCAGGCAGGGTTTTGCCCACAGCCCAGCCCTGGCCCCGCCTCTTCCCAGAGAAAAACAAACAGCCTGAGCTCATGGGGCGGGGCAGGATGCCTAGAGGCAGAGTAGGCTCCAGAGGCACTAATCAGCAGCCCCCTGACTATGACTACTACATTAAAAAGCCACCACAGCTGGCAGTCAAAACACACAACACAAGGCACTCCGATATGAAATCACAATACAAAACCTACTATTCAGATGAAATCTTACCGTTTTCTAATATGATCGTCAAGTTTAGGGTAAATCATGCCTAGTTCTATTGTTTGTATTTTTTTTTCAACATAGGAAAACCTGTTTATGCATCATCTGCTAAGATTTATGCTCCCAGGGTGTTTATACACACCACTCCTGCCCAAGCCCAAAGACAAGCCCCATTAACCTTATTAGCAAAGGAGCTTGGACCCAGCTTTAATGATTAACGTCTGTATCTAAAAACAACTGATCAAGGCTGGTTAACTCCCTTTAAAAAGATACACAGTGTTCTAGGTCACCAACTATTTTTATCAGTTTACCCAGATCGCCAAAAGCTGGGGTGCACCATTAAAGTTGCTATCCTAGGGCAATTAGGGTTCTCTACTACTTCCAGGACCAGGCCTTGAACCTGACTATGCATCTTGAACCGTGCCCTTCTGCAAATCCCTGTGCTACCTCCAGGTACATTTCAGGACCCATGGTCTCTGCCCACGTCTATCTTGACGCAGCATCCCTACTGTGCATACCAGACATTTCACCTGCTGTTACCACATATTTCTAATTTCTATTTTAAATTAGCCTCTTTAAGTTAGTGTTACTCTCCTCCTTTCAGAGACCCTGACTGTGGGCCCAGACTGGACTTAAAAATTAATAATCAATACACTTACAGCTAGCAGGTGGCATGGGGGTGAAAGTGGCTGGATTCCCAGATGGCTGACTACTGTTCGAGTCCCGGACCTGGCAGCTTACTTTCTCACTTTACTTTCTCAGTCTCTCTCTGGTGAGTGCCTGTGCCCTGTAGTAAATTTTACAATAATAATTTTTTGGGGCGGACCAGCAGGTGGCGTGGTGGTTAAGGCTCTAGATGTTCCTGCATGGCCGACCACAGTCCAAGTCCTGGATCTCGTGGCTTGCTTTTTCACTTAAATAATTCTTTAAATAAATAATTTTTTTCAGAGTTTCTGCTAAAGGGCATGTGCACTTGCCAAAAAGACAGACACAGAGGAACCAGCAGTTAGCGTAATGGCTATGTCGCTGGACTCCCACGTAGTCGACCGAGGTTTGCGTCCTGGACCTGGTGGCTTAAAACTCATACCAGGCACATGTGCATGTGTGCCCAAGATCCCGAGAGGAGAATGGAGGAGAAGGGATTGAGAGAGCGACCATCCCCCCTGGGGAGTGATTTCTCGCTTTCTATCTCTATCTGTCTGGCGAGTGCACGCACCCTATAGCGAAAACCTCTCCAAAAAAAAAAAAGACAGACACAGAGACAGAAAACGAGAAAATCACCCCCTGGGGGGATGGCCAAGCCACAATCCCTTCTCTTTTACTCTCCTCTCAGGATCTTGGGCACTCACACACACATGCCTGGCATGAGTTTAAGCCACCAGGTCTGGGATTCGAACTGTGGTTGACTACATGGGAGCCCAGTGACACAGCCATTACACCAACTGCTTGCTGGTTAAGGCGCTGGACACTCTCACATGGCTGACCATGGTTCGAGTCCCGGACTTGGTGGCTTGCTTTTTCACTTCCCCCCTCTCTCTGTCTCTCTCTGTCAAATTAAAAATAAATGAATGAATAAAAAAAAAGTATAAAACTGTTCTTGCTATTAGAACAAGGATAAGAATGATGGAACTCCTTTTTCCAACTCTGCTTAGGATTCCTTCTATGTATTCAGTGAGGTAGAAAGAAACTCCTCTCTAGGTGCTCTCTTACCCATCTCTCCCTCCAACAAAAAATTTAAAACAAACTGGTCCTTCATGGCATCTCTCTAGAATGTGGTTCATGGGTATGGCTGGAGGCCAAAAGGCCTAGCAAGTATTTCTACCTCTTCCTTCCAGGTCTCCAGAGTGTTCATTAGTTGCTGGGTGTGATGTGGCACCTTGCCATCCTCCCTCCTGTGCACCACACACTGGCAGTACATAGGACTCTGATCCTGGGAGAATCGTTATCTTGGGTAGAGAGGCAAGGAAAATAAGGCTCATTCTTGCCTGAGCCAAGTCTGATGACACAGGAAACTCCCAAATGTGAGGCAGAATTAGGGAGACAACTGATTAGCATGTAGTGAGGTGGAGCAAATTCTAGTCTCAGTTCTGTCCCTTGATCACTTGGAGAAAAACTCCAAATCTCTATCTAGCTCCCTTTGGGTTCCAGTTTTCTGGTCTGTAAAATGAAGAGAGGCATAGAGTTGATCTCTACTTTGTGGGTTGTATAACCAAAATTAGTGAGGGATAACAAGGGTTTTTTTTGCTTTGCCTTTTTTAAAAAGAAAATAATTATTTAATTTTATTTATTATTGTTATTATTTTAATTTGACCAGAGAGACAGAGAAAGAAAAAGTAAGAAAGCAAGCCTCCAGGTCCAGGACTCAAACCACAGTTGGCCATGTGGGAGTCTAGCACCTCAACCACCATGCCACTTGCTGGTCCCTGTTTTGCTTTGTTTTAATCAAACAGGATAGGCTCAGATGTAGTGGTGTAGACAACGGGGTGTGCCCATAATCCTGCCTGGCTGCAGGGGTAGGAGAAGGATCACCTCTCACCACCCAAAGAAAATAAACTAAAAAAATAATAATAATAAAAAGGATAAAACTAAGTATCAATGAATTCTATGTAATAGGCCAAGTACTGTTTCGTGATCTTTTTGTGTCGATCACGTTCTGTCTCCTAAATGGTAATGTAAGTGTAGGTTCACTGTACAACACTTCTCACATTTGGAATTACAAATCTGTGGGGCTTCTGTTTCAGGGCTGCTTACAGGCCCTATACTTGTGAAAAAATGAAGGATCAATTTTCCGAGGATTAAACTGATCAGCTCATCCCTAAAGGCCTCCACCAGGCCAGAAGGAGGAAAAGTCTTGAAGTGCTCACTCTCAGCTTCCCCTGTGTTCCACATGCAAGTTGATTTAAATATCTATAGTCTAAGGCCCAGTTTCCCCAAGAATCCTGGAGCATTAAGAAGTACTGAAAAGCCCATACAATGTGCTGGCCCTGTACCTAGGGACACAAGGAATAACTGCAAAATACCAGCAGCAGATTTACCATCTTGTTTAGCTTTTTGTGATGCCCCACATTTGTCCATGAAACTATAAACAGGTTAAGAACACAGAACATGATCCATCCTGGATAGGCATAGCATTCCACCTCTGTCTATCTCCCCTCAAATTTATCAAACTGGTTTAAGATCTGAACATAAAACTTTTTTTTTTTTGAGAGGTATTTGCTATAGGGTGTGTGCGCTCACCAGAAAGACAGAGACAGAAAGTGAGAAATCACCCCCTAGGGGGGATGGCCATGCTGCAATCTCTTCTCCTTCATTCTCTTCTTAGGATCTTGGGCACGCACACACACGCACCCGGCCTGAGTTTAAGCCACTGGGTCTGGGACTGGAACCACGGTCGACTACATGGGAGCCCAGCGACATAGCCATTATGCCAACTGCTGGTCCCCATAAAACACAATTCTTTAATGTTAACTTAAAAAAATAAAAAAGGTTTCTTCTACACACACCCCTACAGGGTGTCGGGAAAGACAGAGAAAGACGGCTAAAGAAAAGTGAGAAATCGTCCCACAGGGGTCATGGCTACCTGCAATCCCTTCTCCTCCATTCTCCTCTGAGATTTTAGGCACGCATACACAATGTGCCTGGAATAAGTTTCAAGCTGCTGCCTCCAGGACTTGAACCTCAGTCTGCCATATGTCAGTCCACAGTCTTAACCACCAAGTCACCTGCTGGCCCCTACTGTTAACTTTTTAAGTACTGCATATAAAACTGCTGTGACTCTGGGAACCAGCAGTTAGTGTAATGGCTATGTCGCTGGACTCCTACATAGTTGACCGCGGTTTGCGTCCCAGACCCGGTGGCTTAAAACTCACGCTGGGTGCGTGTGCGTGCGTGTCCAAGATCCCGAGAGGAGAATGGAGGAGAAGGGATTGCGGCGTGGCCATCCCCCCTGGGGGTGATTTCTCACTTTCTATCTCTATGTCTCTCTCTGGCGAGCGCACGCACCCTATAGCGAAAACCTCTCAAAAAAAAAAAAAAAAAAAAAACAACAAAAAAAACCAAAAAAAAACTGCTGTGACTCATGAAAGTCCCTGGGCCCAGAGTTTGCTCATTCAGATTTAGTTAATGAGCCTACAATTGGGATCTATTGGGGCCACTTACTATACTTCAAGAAAAACACCAGGGTCAGGCAGTCACAGGGGATGGCATGCTGCAAAATAGCTTAATGGGAAAAACAGCCCTCACTACTCAGACCTCCTCCCCAAGAGCCCCAGAGTCACTGACTAGCACATTCATATATAACCCACAACTCAACCACCAAGATCAGTTACTGAAACTCCATACATTGCATAGAGTAGACGCTCCAGGAGAATGTCTCAATGTCTTGAAGTAACAGGAGCAAAATACAAAATTATGAAATCAGGCAGGCCCCATGGACCAGTGGATAAGGGAGCTGGATCCCACATAGCCAACCACATAGTTAACATACCAGTCCCGCTAGCTTGAAAAAAATACAAGGTGGGCCGCCAGGTGGTGTGGTGGTTAAAGGTGCTGGATTTCCACATGGCCGATAGTGGCTCAAGCCCTAGATCTGATGGCTTGCTTTCTCGTTTTCCCTTTCTCTGTCTCTCTCTGGTCAAACTAAAG